CGCAGAAAAATTTGACGATTCCAATGATATATAAAACTCATTTTACGTATTTTTGTCGCTTAGTTATGTTTGCCTTTCAAGCGTCGATATGTACAGTCAGCTGCACAAATATGGACACATTTACTTTAAAATCTCGTTAATGTCATCGGTTTTAAAAATAAACATGAAAGCATCAATATGATTCTGATCATAAATTCATGTTGATGTATTTGTGTGTATAATTTATTTGTAACTTAAGGGTGTGCATTGTCTATTGTTTTGTAAATGTCTACATATTTGTGCAGCTGACTGTACTAATGCTGTTATCTCCGTTTTTTGTTGTTTGTGAGTGAAATGGTGCATTTTTGTTCCCATTTTTAATGCAATTACAACTCATTGTACAATTTAGCTGTAGACTGGGATCTATTGTATTTTGTGTTTATTGTAACTTATTGTTTTCAGAATGAACGCTATTATAGTTGTTCATATCTTCTTTAAGAAGAAGAAGATAAAAAGAGAGTAAAAGAAGATAGAAGCAAAATCAATTAAAAAAAATATCTAAATTTCATACACAATTAGATAACACTTGTACAAACATAAGCTGTATGCTTTATGTTAGAAGCCTTTTGTTATTAATTACACACTTTTAGGGCAATTTGTATCTTGCTATATTTCTAGATTTGGTAGGATATGGTAGTTTTGGAAATATCAATCAGATAATTCTTCTTATCTTCATTTTTAACCGATTTTCAAAAGGAGGAAGTTCGTTCATATTTAGGGAATATTAAAAAGTCGCTTTTTATTTAAAAAATGACAATTTTTTAGGCTCATTATGTCGTAAATTGCTTGCTATTTTAATAACACGGAAAATATAAACACAGTCTAGACTGATTAATTTATAGTGGGAAATTAAAAAAAAAGATATTTAGAGGCTGGGCTTTGAATAGTACATAATATACAATATGTACCAATTTCTATATACTGCAAAATACTGCTAAAATGTCATTTCTTTAAATGGCAACATTATGTAAACAGATAAATAAGAACATTTATCATGGTAACACTATACTTGAAATAATGTATGCCTTATGCTGAAAATCTTAAATTTCTATTTACTTACGACATAAATTTCTTCGAATTATAAATGACATTTGGTTGTACTTTTATTTTTAGTGTTATGTGTATTTTAAATATAATTATCACGTAATGTGTAAACTTTCCAAAAATTTCCAAATTGTAGTTATGTACACTTTGTTCTAAGAATATATAGATGTTATATTTATGTGATATATTTATTTCTATAGCTTTAGGCACTCTTAGATTAAGGGCATGTGATTCAGTTAAATAAAATATTTTTTCAATGCGATATCAATTAATGAATGTAGTTTTGATTTTAACGTTCGAATTAACCAAACTAACGATCGACAAAAAAACAAATTTTTGTTACATGACCAACTTATGTCTATATGTTTATGTAATAACAAGCTTTCGAACGCGACTCCATCCGCGTAAAAAAAAAACAAAACCGACTTCCAAACAAAATACACTAAAAACAAAACAAAATGCACTCAAAACAAAACAAAATACTCTCAAAAAAACAGTACACTAAAAAGTAACGAAATAATTACTTGAAAATAGTAAACCTACCTTATTGTAACTGTTATGTCTATATTGTACA